TTCCTACCCATTCTCCCTTTACCTTCCCTGTTTCGCCACTCACACCACTGGTCCCGTAGGGCTCCTCCGCCCTGGATTCCCTGTATTTTCAGCTCCCATCTGTACCAGTGTACATCCTCTGGTCTAGCCAGACTTGCAAGAGATGTTCTTCTTGACAATGAGTGTGACACTTGCTCTTGTTAGGTGCTGAGTTGGTTCCAAGCCACAGCGACCCCATGCGCAACCGAAGGGAACACTGTCTAGTCCTGTACCAGCCCCACGATGGTTCCTATGCTGGAGCCCACAGTTGTCACCAGTGTGTCCATCCATCTCCTTGAGGAACTTCTCCCTTTACTGCCCCTCTCTCTACCAAGCATGATGTCCTTCTCTAGGGACTGGTCTCTCCTGACAGCGTGTCCAGAGTAGGTGAGAGGAAGGGTCACACTACTCCTCGTTAATCTGTCATTCCTGCCATAGTAAACCATGCAACGGTCTTCTGACTCAAAATGGGCAACACCAGTCTCTTTCAGCTCGGCAAGCATACCTCCTCCTATTCATGTAAAAGCTGTGTCCAGCTTTGGTAAGGAACAGCAGAGAGCTGAGGCCTCTGAACTGCTTGTCAGTAGTATAATATAAGAATATAAGTAGTATAATATAAGTATAAGAATAGTAACTGTACAACAGATGGCCGGAAGAACAAAGAGATGTGTGTACACGCTCCTTGGAAGTGAGGATGGTGAGACTCCGTCTCACATACTTTGGACGAGTCATCAGGAGAGACCAGTGCCTGGAGAGAGACATCACGCTTCATAAAGTGGAGGGGCAGCGGAAAAGAGGGCGATCTTCAGTGCGATGGATCGACACACTGGCTGCCGGCCATGGGTTCAAATCCAGCAGCGGGTTTAGGGAGGGCACTGGACAGTGTTTCATCCGGTTGCACAGTCACAGAAAGAGAACCAGCTAGGATATCAGTCTCCAAGTTTCCACATCATTCGAAACAGCTTCCAGTTCTCCTAGACTCATATTTCACAACGGCGTGCTCCAATGACGACTGCACGTTTGCAGCGGTTCCTTCTCATTTTGCATCATCCCACACCGACCGTGCAATGTCCTGCGAGCTTTCCTCCACCCACATCATTGAGGCCAACTCTGCTTGGAGGAGGCAGCTCTTCAACCAGTCTCTTTCCAACATGAAGAGCCACCTCCACGTCACTCTATCAGGTAATGCCCCGCTGCTAGTCGTAAGATTGATACTGGCTAGTTTCTTCAGATGTGGACTGTCAGACCCTTCTTTGTGGTCCGGCTTAGCCTTGCCGCTCCCCAGAAACCCACCCACCACCGTGACCTTTGTGGCATTTGCAATAAAGGCAGCATAGCTTCTAGCACCAGGCCCACACACAAGCCACCACGGTATGACAAAGGGCAAATGAGTGAGACAGTCCCACTGGCTCAGTTATAAGCTCCTCCTACCACCTCTCCCAGGGGCACACACGGGTTTACTGGCCGCTGATTGTTTTAAGGGCAGGCTCACAACCTCTGGTCCCTGACAAGTCACAGCAACGACACACAGAGCCACCAGCACCCCTGCATACAATACCGCAAGACACAGTCACAAATCCAAGCGACAATCTTCAGTCTCGGGAGCTGCCCTAGGGCACCATAGAGAGATACAGACATACGGAGGCGTGTGCATGCACGCGCACACACACACACACACACACACACACACACGCACACACTGTGGACACTCACAATTCTATACAAGGCGGGGCAGGGCGTGGAGAGGGGCAAGGACAAGAGCAGATAACCATTGAGTCCCAGGCAGGGTAACTTCTTCAGAGAGGCAGATGGGTGAGCTCTGTGGGTCCTGTACTTTCTGTTGCAGCCACTCAGCTCTGAGTTACAGCCCCTGAGAAGCCACGAAGGGCAGTCAAAAGTGGGCGGGGCTGCATGCCAATAAAACTGTACAGTGAACCCTCGCCACTTCGCGCTTCGACTTCCGTGGCTTCACTCTATCGCAGTTTTTGC